TATTCTTTACGCGCTCAATGCCAGCCATTCGTAGGGGAATTCTTTCCGCACTTTGGGACTTTTCAAGTTTTCATAAAGGTAGATATTGATTACTTATTTTCCTTTGCCCTTAATAATAGGAAAATATGATGTTGAAAGAACAAGTTGAAGTGCTGGTTCGCGAAAACACTGTTCTAAAGCATGCGGTGGCTATCCAGCATCATCGCCAAAAAGAATACGAAGAGAGAAGTCAAGAGCTGCAGCATCTGAAACAGCTGGTGTCTCAGTACCAGGAGCAAGTTCGAACACTAGAGGTATGGTGATATGTAGATTTGTTCTTGCGTTTGCCGATTGCCCGCCAATGATCTCCCATGTCGAGTAACCATTGTTCTTACGTGGTTGGCAGATCAACAACTACGCACTCACGGTTCATCTGAGGCAGGCGCAGCAGAGCAGCTCCATTCCAGGACGCTTCAATCCAGATGTCTTCTGAGGTAGGCCAGTTGTTTCTGGTGGTGTAGTTTACCATAGTTTGGTTTAAGATTCAGCCAAAACCTGATGCACTACACCATCTTTAGTTCGTTATCTGATAAGTAGGTGTTGCAGTCTTCACCTTTTGCTGCAAGGTTGAACCTGGTTGCCGTTGTGACTTGATCTTGCATGTTTTGTTAGCAAGCAACTCTTGGTGACTTCTTCTTCTCAGAGAAACCAAAAATTATCTGAACTTGGTTGAAACAATGGTTTAGGGGCTTCATTAGGATCTTCGTTGTCAGTAAAAATGACTGTGCCCTGATAACTGACCCAACGAATTGTCTCTAGTACAAGATTAATGACAGCCAATTTCCAACTCAAAGTCAGCCTCGCTCGCGTCTTCTGCAGTTCAAGTAGTCGTCGACAATGGCCCGACCATGCAAATTACTTGGCGGGTTCATCGTCCCTTTCGCTTTCACTCGCCAACCCTGCCGCCCACTGCGTCTGTCCTCGCCGTCGTCATGTGAGCCAAGAAAGTTGTTGTCACGTCTCACCATCACCTACTGCAAAGTCGTACCGTTCATTGATTCCGCGCAAAAATGCACAGCCGCCGTACGTGACCCGTCATCTTGTTCGAACCCTGTCTGTTCCCGCGCGTCATGCGTGGCATCCATCCGTGCGACGTTTCATGCCAATAACTTGTTCTCGAGGAGCACCAGACGCCCGTCCTATCATTTTCGTGTCAACAGCGGCACCAACTCGATGGTACGGCCTTCACTCTCGGCCGTCGGATTGGACCCGTGTCGGCGGTTGCGGTCCCCCGGTGCGGGCTTTCGTGACCGGTGCGGAAACGTGGACGTCGTAGTCACGTGACTTCCGACGCCCGCTAGACGACAAAAAGAATTTAATCGTATCTAATGCGTGCATCACACCGCTCACCGTGTCATCCAGCCACGTGGCACCCTCTGTGAGCCGCCTCCATTTTGTCCGTATCATCAGTCTCTCCATTAACGCGTTTTTATAGTCGTACCAACGGCATAATTCATTCGTCTCTTCGTACCCTTTCCACGGGCTAATTCACTGTATTAAGTCGTATCGTGATCTTTTATATTTTAAAATTGTATATTAATATTTTTATAATTTTTAAAAAAATTAAAAATATTTATTTTTTAAATAAATATTTTAATTATATTAATATAACATATGACATCACATACTAAATTAGTAAAAATAATGATAAGTAAAAGGATAGTTTTAATATTTTATTTTTAATAAATGATATTAAAATTATTTTTTTTACTGATAAGATTACTAAAATACGGGGAATAATATATAATTAATCCCCTTCCACCGCCGTCGAGTTGCTCTCTGGTAAGCCTCCCAACAGCGCGGGGATAGGCGTGTTTGCCGCGGACCTTTACGCGCAATATATCACACGGCCCTATAAATCCCCGCCACGTTACGAGTATATGACCATGTGAGGTGAGGGGATGAAGAGCGGGAGCTCTCCAGGAAGAGAGGTTTGAGAGAGAGAGAGAGAGAGAGAGAGAGAGAGAGAGAGATGGAGGGGCAGCTGCCACCGAAGAAAGCGGGGACGAAGCCAAAGGAGCGGCTCTTCCGGGGTGTAAGGATGAGGAAGTGGGGGAAGTGGGTGGCGGAGATCAGGGAGCCCAACAAGCGGTCCAGGATCTGGCTGGGGTCCTACTGCACCCCGGTGGCCGCCGCCAAGGCCTACGACACCGCCCTCTTCTACCTCCGCGGCCGCGCCGCCCGCCTCAACTTCCCTGACGACGTCTCCGTCGACGACGCTGGCAGCGGCGCCGACATCGGCATGCCGGCGGCGTTAATAAGGAAGAAGGCGGTGGAGGTGGGCGCCAAGGTCGACGCGCTCCAGCTGAGAAGCGCGTCCGTCTTCTCCTCTCGCTCTCAGGAATACCGGCGTAGGAAAGAAGAGAAACGGTATAAGAACCCCGACCTCAACCAGGAGCCCACCCCCGAGAGCTCCGATGACGAGTGGAGCAGCGGCTTGCAGTAGTAGATTTGTACGTATGTAGTGGAACATGAAATGATCTCTTTTCTTTGGCGCGAAGTCTGTTCGATGTAAAGAGCTTCGATGATACTTTATTTGGTTTCCATTTCCCTTCCGAAGCATTAACAATCTTCGCTTTGCAGGCGAATAAGATTCCGGTGGTTAACCCTGTAGATTAATTCCGCAAGTTGTTGAGGAGGCAATCGTGTTGTTAGTCTAATTGTATATTATCTCTGTAGCTAGTTATATTTAATCTCGATCCTTGTATTTTAAAAAATTATAGTAAATTTTTTTATTTTTTCTTCGGATTTTATTAATAAAAAATATTATGTATACTGTCATATGTAGAAAATAATATTAAAAAAATAATTTACCCTTGTGTGAAAGCTTTGTAATCCTTTTCTGATTTTATCATCCCCATTGGTTTCGCTACATTGCTATACTTTTCTTCCCTATTATGTCTCTCTCTAATGTCGAGGGTACCTCCATCGCATACCATCAACTCTTGGTCCTCTCGAAGAAGGGAGACCTCTCCCGACAACTTCTAGTTCAATGTTGAGATCGACATTATCATTGCCAATCTCCGCCTTCATCGTGCCTACGTCACTCTAAGGGCATGGAAGAAGATAATATACTTTGACTCTCGTAACTTCACCAACAATTAGGTCGGCCTTATGTGTGGCTATCACAACATCTTTTGCATCGTGATACCAAATAACCCCTCGATCAACATCATTGTTGGTATCGAATTTAACTATACTGATATCATCAAGTATCTCCTCGTTAAGCTCAACCCCTTCACCATCGTTGCCCTCTTCCACATAAATTGCAATTGCTTCTATAACATCATCCCCAAAACATCTCTCGTCTCAAACTCCTCCATAGGCTCGATGCTAGTAACAACTGCTTTGTTGGCCCATTCTCGAATGGCGCCCTTCTGCATGTCGTTGCTTAAGTGTCTTGACCTTCAATTTAATGACTTCGAGGGAGTGTTGTCACCGGTACTTTTTGACAACGAGCTCGATGCTATATTATAGCACGATAATCGTTTTAACTCTTAGATGCCGACAATTTCGGTAACACCAAAGCCTCCGTCGTCGTCATCACTAATAACAAAATCCATGACTACCTTCCAAGCAGCATTGGTAAGATAGCGACCATCTTTAACGAGCTTGTTTTGATGAATAAACTTTCGAGATTTAATTGACGCTTTCTTCTCCCAATAGGTCGTATGAGAGGATACCGAAGCTGAAGAGGAAGATGAAGCCATAATTTTAGCATCATTTTCTACATGTGACAGCATGTGTGATATCGTGTATTAGTAGAGGCGATGACGTGAGGAGAAACGAGATTAGATATTTCACCTTCGTAAGAATAGATATTTCAATATAATTTTTTAAAGCATAGAGACAAAGATACTAAATATAACTAACTACAATGGATAATTTATAATTAATCATTTATTTAACTGTCATGCCTTACAATACGCTTAACCATACTTAGATTTATAGATATAGGAGACCAATGCTTACATGATGTTGATGATGATGACTCCGTAGCTGAATGTTGTGTATCAAGTACGAAGAAAACACGCATAGGTCTCAAATGTAATCATATTAAATCGATTTTATATGTCCTTTGAAGGACAGTGTGAAAAGAGTAGCCTGACATCTTTGGCTATTGTTGATGTGATTGATACATAGCGATGTTAGAGTGCAGCTTATACGCCATGATAAAAAGGAAAATGACGCCATCTCTATCGTCTTGCGAGGAGGAGAGCGAAACAGTAATTACAATCATGAGAATACCCCAGAAAATATAATTATTTATATTTTTTTTATCAAATTAAAAATTAGTTGTACTAGAAAAATATTGATTCGGAGTCGATCGAGATCTCTCTCAATTCAATATTGATCGATAACTTTTTATTTTTTATTTTTTTTGGATTATCAATCTTATACTACTCACGTGTTCATTACATACGAATTAGTAATACGATACTCAAGGTTCGATCCATATTACATCTAAGTATTGATCAAGGTGCCACCCGACGCAATGTCGAAGTGTCGATCTAATATGTTGATCTCGTATGACGTTGAAGTATCAAACCATATAATATCAAGATATTGATCAAGTAATGTTTATATCTATATATCAATCGAGAATTCTTACGATAAAATTCTAAAATAACATGCAATAGAGGAAGATATACCGATTTTTCATATTAAGTATTTTATTTTTACATCATATATATTTTTATTTTAACATCAAAATAATTTTATCAGTTACATTGCCGACATAAGTCACATATAAAATATTTAAACAGAGAGGATTCAAATTGAGATTTCAATTTAAGAGTGAAATCAAATCGAACGAATCGAACTGATTAAATCAAACAATAACAATAGTCTTTTTGGTAGATCGAAGAAAAATAATACAAAAAAAATAAATTGGACAGAAAACCTAAGTGGACAGTTTCTTTTTCTCTCACTTTAAAGCACTTCACAGCAGACGACTCTCTCCGCCTCCCTCCTATCTTTCATCCAACTGCCCCTCTCTCTCTCTCTCTCTCTCTCTCTCTCTCTCTCTCGTCCACTGTCAACTCTTGCTGTGATCTCCGGACGAATATAGAGAGGGCGAGATGCTGCTATCCATGGAGTCTCTCGTCGGCCTCCCTTCTTCCGCCCTCGGAGTGAAACCCTTCATCCCCCTCCTCCGGAATCGCAGCAGCCCCCTCCTCTTTCGACGACGCCGGCGGTTCCTCGACTTGGGCGCCGCCTCCACTAGCCCAGCCTCCGCCGTGGCGCGGAACGGGTCCTTGGCGACCAATTCCTCGTCGGTGAGATTCTCGCCCATTTCAAATCTAACTCTTGTTTTTTCCTTTCCCCTTTTGTCGTATTGTTGTTTTAGGACCGGAATCGAACCCGGGAGGGTGAACTCTTGATCTTGTTCAACATAACAAATTGGCCAACTAAGATCGTACTATGGTGAATCTAATTGCGCGTTTTTGGTGAAGTTAGTGGCATGCTTCAGCAAAAGAGAAGGGTAGTTTGAAATGGTTTGGGAAAGGGGTAAACTGAGAGAACGCTTCAACTACCATGTGAATCTTGTAGAAGAATCAGAGTCTTGATGCCTAAATTATTTTATCTGCTGTTCCAGATTCTTCTCAGATATCGGTGCATGAATCTACTGGTCCTTTTAGGTTTTATAATTTGTTGACAAAGACCGATGATATCTTGCACATCTAGAACCCTAAAACATGGGAGTGTTTGGTCCTATTTTTGCCTAATAGACCCAGCTGCTTCCCTAAGGTCTAACCAAAACTATCTCAATTTAATAAGATTCGAGTTTAGTACCTAGCAAAAATAAAGATGCAGGGGAGACAGAGTTATGTTAGCTAGAAGATGAGATACGAATGGTAACATATTTGTGGCAAGTAAAATATAGTCTACTCATGCCATGCTTGCTGCCATTGTGCAATCTTTTTGCAACAATGTGAATATGCAACTTGCAATAACAGAAACCAGAATTGGGTTACTCATGTATTTGTATTTAGCGTTGAAGTGAAGCATCAATTGTGTAGAGCTTATGTGGTTATTTTTTTGAGCTATAAATTAATAGAGATGCCTTCACAATCTGATATTGCATGTACAATCATCTAGAACAACGTCCATTTAGCTAAAGGTGTCTTGAAGAGTACAGATTACTGCAAACTTCAAAACTAAAAGCAGAACTTGTAAGAGACATTGTTTGAGCACAAGCACATTGCAATTGATGAGATGATTCATTTTCTAGATGAGCTGTGAGCTTCATGCAAGATGGAGAGGCACTGTTATCATCACCTTGAATTGCTGGATTGTCATTACATTCTGCTTTTTAATCCTCATACAACATGATGCCCGAGATGAATCCTAAAAAACATGAGCTCATGGTAGAAGTTGACAAGATCATTCACACGACAATTATTCAATCTGAATTGGAATATACAAAATGTTGACCAATAGTGATCAATCAAATTAATTGAGCTTGCACCAGCATCTCTCGAATTTCCTTTGAAATTGCCAAAAAGGATATATAGTCAACAGTTGCAATTGATTCAGAGCCTAGAAGACAGTTAAATCAGGTTTCAATTCTGTTGTTGTGCATGTGCTTATTGTCAGTTAAAGTTGGAAGTATTCGGTTGCAGGGTGACGTGATTTACATTTTACGCAATCTGATTATCTGTAACTAATCAAGCGAGTTTTGAGAAGAGTACAAGAGAAAATAAATCATGTCAGTAGAGGGCCTTACTTTTTGACTAGCTGCTGGTAGTTGCATAACAAGTTAACAACCATCTTCGCTCTTAGACAAAATCGGCATGTCAAAAGGTTGGAGTTTTTTGCATGATATTTTGCTTTTTTACAAGTCATTTGTCATTGTCTATTCTTAATTTAACTTAGTTAATGAATTTTGAAATTAAAAACCCATTTTCAGTGAAAGGATGGCCTACCTGAAATGCCGATTATAGGCTTAGGAATAGTGATACTGATTGAGGTATGTTAACTTTACATTATGAGAAAAAGATCATTTACATGTAGAGAATGTAAAGATAGTGATTTAGAAGCTAAGAGTACAGCAATTATGCAGGGTACTGCTAGGATGGTCTGACTTGCATAGATTTCACATTAGGTAAATTTTGACCCCTTTTTTTTTCCTTTGCTTTCTTTATTTTGACTTATTTCCATTTCTTGATGGCTTAGTTCCATGAAATTCTCTCACAGTTCCATTTAGCATTGTGTCTAAGACAGATAATAGGTTTAGTTTAATTTTATTCAAATCTCTTATATAATATTTTCAAAAAGTTTCTTTTGAAACAAGTACTGGACTGAACTTAGTGCATTTATCTAGGTTGCATCTATTTTGACCTCTTAGCTAAGGGCCACTTCATATTCTGAAGTTTTACTATGAAAAAGTACTACTTTAGAAGTTGCTTTCTATTTCTCTTTCGTTTTCTTTTTTTCCCTTCTCCAAGTAGCATCAATGACATGGCCCAGGTTTATATTCCTGGTTTAATGATTTGCAGCAAAGCAATTGTGTTTACACAGTTGGTGATTTTATGACCAAAAGGGAAAATCTTCATGTTGTGAAGCCTACCACTTCAGTTGATGAAGGTACTACCAGTATAATTTATTTGTTTGTATAGTTATTTATTTATTTTTCTTCTTATATACTGGGCTAACTGCTTAGCTGATCCATTTATCATGTGATGTCAAAAGCACTGGAGATGTTAGTGGAACATAGGATCACTGGCTTTCCTGTGATTGATGATGACTGGAACTTGGTATGAACTTTTCACCCTTTTCTTTCTCTGTTCTTGATCAAATCTCTTTTGTTGCAACTGAAACTCATGTTTGTTTGTAAATATTAAGTATTTGATATGATCTTCTATTCACTAAATAGGACTTTTTTTTAATATATCATCTTATTGTTCTAAGGCAATATGTCAAAGATTGAAGCTCCTTGTATATATTTTTCATGCATGATTATCTTTTCCTTTTGTGATAACTGGAAATGTTGACATAAATAATTCCAAGCATAGGAAATTATACTAAAAGAGGAGGGAAGGAGGAGGAGAAAGAAGAAGAGAGGAGGAAGAACTGGGTAAATAATCTTCTCATTATGATTTGGTGACTGGTAACCCAGAGAGATCATTGCATTGTTTTTAGCTAATCCTCAGCCTCGCCTCTGGAGTTTCCAGAACCTCGTGTTTCATATATATGAGAAGAACAAGTTTTTATCTGGTAGTGGAGATTTGTAGGTGGTAGTGGAGTTGGTTCTTTAGTTCAATGGTACCAGATCAGGTGTGGATAATTAGTGTTAGTGGCGTTCTTTCTGTCACTAACACAGAAGACTATAGATCATGTTGTAGTGTTAGCAATATTCTTGCTGTCACTATACAGAAGACTGTAGATCATGTTGTAGTATTGCCAAATGCTGTCTTTTTTTAGTTTGAAAAAAGATCACATTTGCACCTTCATGCTAGCCTTTTTTAAAATAAAGTAAAAACTGAATTTCAAATATCTGTGGTGCAGCATGCTATGAAGATTAGCTTTAGTATTGTGTCCAAAAAAGAATTAAGAAGAGCTTGTGCATTTCTTTTCTTTTATGCATCTTAGCATCTCTTTTCTTTTATCGTGTATGGCTCATGTACATTTTCTGGAATGTTTGTCCTTATGGCTTACCCCTTTTTTTTTTTTTCAGGTTGGTGTAGTTTCAGACTATGATTTGTTAGCACTAGACTCCATTTCAGGTTTCCTTCATTTGTTTTGTTTGATTATTATCTCTTAATCTTTCCTTCTTAAAGAATCTTGCAAATTACATTGATGTTCTTTTGATTCCAGATTGATAACTGGACAACCTCTAGGATGTAACTCTTAGGTGCAGCATTTTTTTTCCATAGAATGTCATGTTTGGGCTTTCTAGTTGATTAAATTCTACCTTTTGCTTTTCTCCAATTTTGAACTTTTAAGTGACAGATTGGATTACTTATGAAGTGATCACTGTTAGTTTGTCGTGCTTTCTAGAAGGGGACACAGATTGATTACTATGTATTTATTGGAAGTATTGGTGATATTGATTTAGGCTGTCATGTCTCTCTTTCTCAAAATAAAAAAGATATTATATTTCCTGCAAGGTTTTATAGCTATTCAGAATCAAGGGTTACAAACATTGATGTTCAGTACTGACCAATGTTATAAGCACCATAGATTTTAATGGCATAAAAAGATTAATGTGGCCATCCCCAGATAGTTGGAACCTTATTTGTTATTGTTACTATGGGCAAAACTTTTAGGTTTGACTTGGAACATATTGATAATATACATTAGAGTAATTATGCCAAGGGATGCCATATTGGGTAAACATGGTAAGTCAAGGAAAGATGAAATAGTTGGTGTGGGTGGTTCCTGTTTCGAGTTTGTTATTTAATCAAATTCTAGGTTTTGCTTACCAAAAGAAGATGAATGTCACTTATATGAATGAATTCTTTGAACTATTAGTTATCATATTAGAAGGAAGTTATAACACCTAAATACATAAATGTTCCTTGTTAATTTCAAGGTATCTTTAGTGCTCCTCCTCCTTATACTCCACTTCTGCAAAGATATGAATAGAATTTTGCTTGTGCATCAAGAACATTGATTTTTCTTCTAATGTATTAGACTCATCCTGATACAGCATATGCCTGTACTTTCCTTTTCTGCCCAGGTAGTGGACGGGCTGACACTAGCATGTTTCCTGAGGTTGATAGTACATGGAAAGTATGTATGATTTTGTTTCTTTTAACAAGTATGATTCCTTATTTCTTTTACTAGAATAAATATTAATGGTCATTCATGATGAAATTTTTTTGTTATACGTTTGAAGCTTGTCTTCGGAAAAAGAATAGTGACTCAGTGTTTGTTGGGCTTTTTAGCGTTAGACAGAACTAACATAATGTCTTATACTGTGTGATGGTCCAAAGAGATCACAAGCGATATTAGAAGTAACATTGATGGTATCATCTGATCGAATATAGACAGGTATTTTATGAGATAGTGATGTGCAAACTCAAGAGGCAAGTGACTTATTCACTTGCTCATAAAATAGTCTGTTATGGTGGGTTATTCTTTATGAACCTTCATCAACCTGAAACATAATTTGCTTAAAAGTTATTATGGTCTCAGCATCTTTAAATTAGTCGGACATCCTAGTGGTTAGCAGATTATATCCACAGTCAAGGGGTCCACGGTTTAACTCCTGTTTTGAGTGTTGGTGTGCATTGTCATGCAATGGTTATATATGGAACGAGTAAATTGAGAAAAAAATTGTTAAAATATGATTTTATATTAACCCTATTAAAGCAATATTATCTGGATCGAATTCCCTTGAAAACTGTTTATCTATAAACCTTACGAAAGCAACTTTATCCATATCATATTCTAGAAGAAAGGAATGTTATGCGTAAGAAACCACCACCTATCCATATGTATTCAGACAGCTGAAACTTACAGTTTCATCTTCTGCAGGCATTCAATGAAATCCAGAAGCTGTTAAGTAAAACGAATGGTAGAACCATTGGTGAGGTGATGACTCCTGCCCCCCTTGTGGTCCGTGAAACAACCAATCTTGAAGATGTTGCAAGGTTCTGACCAGTGGCGACCATACGTTAAATTCTTATTATTGCTGTTCTCATCACGAGTGAAGTTACCAGAGTTCATTTCTGATCGCAGGCAACTGCTTGAAACAAAATACCGTAGGCTTCCGGTTGTTGACAGTGATGGTAAATTGGTACGTGAAATATCTATCTGCGTCCTACCTTGTACCTATTTTGGGTATATTCTTAACGATTGATTTTTAACATCGTAGGTCGGTATTATCACGAGGGGAAATGTAGTTAGAGCAGCACTCCAAATAAAGCATGAAATGGAGAGAAAATCATGATTCTAAGATGGAAATCAAGTAAGTTGCAGTTATTATTGACAAGATCAGGTAGCTGCTGATCACTTGGCACACGCCATCTTGCACTAAACTAGTTTAAAGGCCCACGCATTTTTGGGACTTGTGTATATGGTTTAATGTGTTTGTTAAACTCCATCGTTTTTCTTTTGGGTCCGAGATGCTTGAACATGCATGCTCTTTGATGTCTAAATATAAAGTGAAGCCTTTGTTTTCACATGAGATCCGCCAAGAGCTGCTTCTTTTCATTAGTTCCACGAGAATCATTTTAATCTATTTAATATATTCCGGGCTGCTCCCAAATAGAATGAACTATGAATTAGTTAGTAACCAATTGTGACCGTGACCGATGCATTGTGCTATGCTAAAGATAAGATTGTATGATATCAATTGTTGCTTTATATGCTCGTGAGCTTGTGATAATGTTTCACAGATTGTACTGGCTTTTTATGGAGCGGTGTTCACTGTGATGGCTCAGCCCAGCCAACACATCTGTCCTCGTTATCCTCCTGCCCCGGCCGTATGCCTTCGTCGGGCTGCCTGTGGTAAAGCAACACGGCGGCTTCCGCGGGACCCACCTGGGCGCCTCCGCTGGTTACGCAACGGGTGATGGTGCCGGCGCTGCGGTCGTATTGGTTTATTCTTGTCCGGAAACTCGTTGTCTTCTTTAAACGGGACGCTTACCTTTTGCGGCGTAGCGGTGATTGACGAACCCTGCACCCTGGCCGGTGTCATACGTGCGATACGGTTTCGCCCGACCCCCCCACGCGTTACAGTTCGAGTCGTAACTCCGACCCTGCGGCTCGGACATGTAACGACCCCACGCCCCACCGACGACGTCACGTCGGGTCGCGCCTCATCCGACGGCGGAGAGCGCCGCTTCATTCTGATTAGGGTTTGTGTCGACCTTGCTATTTAAAACCCCGTGCGGCCGCCACGATGCCGGTGCGGTGCAGTTTTGGAGGCTGCCCTCCTAATTCTTCTCTCTCTCTCTCTCTCTCTCTCTTCATTTCTTGACTTCTTGTTCTCCATCTCCAAACCATATCAAGGACTGCCAAAATTTCCCTACAAAATTTATCCCCCGC